ACAGTCTAGGTTGGAAGTTATTTTCTTTTAGGGCTTGAAATACTTCACTCCAGGCTCTCCTTGATTTGAGGGTTTGTGTTGAGAACTCTGCTGTGATTCTGATGGGCTTTTCCTTTGATTTGTTTCTTTTCTCTAACTGCCTATAGGATTTTGTTCTTCTGTTGGGTTTCTGGAATATTGACTATTATATGTCTAGGTGTAAGGTTTTTTTGATCATGGCTAGTTGGAGTTCTATATGCCTCACTTACCTGTATGTCCAATTCTCCTCTGTCTGGGAAATTTTCTACTATTACTTCTGTGAACAGTTTTTTTTGTCAATTGTACTTTTTCCTGTTTTTTCATGGACTCCTATCAGTCTTATGTTATTCTTCTTTGCATCATCTAGCAGCTGCTGGATTGATTTCTTGTGATCTATTTTTAGGAATCTCTGTTTTCATGGTCCTTAACCACAATCCTGTCTTCTATATCTGTTATTCTATCTTCAGAGTCCCTTAATCTGCTCTGCATGCTTTCAATGGAGTTTTTAATCTCCTGAGTATCTGTTTGAATCTGTTCCATGGATTCCATTTCTTTATGTTGGGCAATCGTGGTTTCCATTTCTTTCTTATGCTGGGTATTCTTGGCTTTCAGCCTTTTTCTGAGCTCATCTATTTTTTTTTAATCTGTTTCTGTTCTAGAGCCTCTAATCATGTCTTTCACTCTGCTCACCATCTCTGTATTTGTCTGGGAAATTATTTCTGCTTTGAATTCTTCTAGAGCCTCATTCATCTGTTTTGTTACTTCCTGTGCTATCAGTTCAGGGTCCAGGTTGTTGATTATCAGACTTTTCCACCTTTTTTTCCCCAGAATTTGCCTTTTGTGGGGTGGAAGTCTGAGTTTGTGCCCTACTTAAAGGTTTTATCATTTTTATTTTTGGTACTGTCCTTGGTTTAGTTCCTGGGTTGATACCTTAAAGTTGCTTATTGTATGTATATTTGTTGATGTATTTAGAACTTTTATGGAATGATTGCTTCTCAGAGGTGTCTTCCAGATATAGCTGGTCCTTAGCTTTTGAGTCTCTAATGGCTCTGAGGCTGTCTCATTGTCATTATACCAGGAAGGACAACTGATTAGATCAATCACAACACCTTACCCCAAGTGATATAATCAGCAACACAATAACATCAAGTACCTCTTAGAAAATGATAATTTGTGTAGTTATTAATCTATCACCTTTAACTCTGAATTAAATCAAAATTAAGGACCAACTGAACATATGTTTATAGTGAATAAGCTCTTCAATATAGCAACTTTACCCTTCAGGATGGGTTGTTATAAATATTTGGGGAGGGAGGAATAGGTAAGTAGAAGGATAGAGGATGGATAGCAGTGAGGCTAGAGGTCCCAGGCAAGAGAAGAAATGAGAAGAAAAGAAAGAAAAAGAAGAAATAAGAATTAGGGGCCGAACAGGAACACAAAGGGAGATGAAGAACAATGGGTGACAGCAAAGGAGTGGTGCAGAGAGAGAGAGAGAGAGAGAGAGAGAG